GGGAACTCGTACGACCACGTTGCTCTGACCCATCCGAGGATCCATCCGAAGCCCCAGCATGGCAGTTTGGGGCTCCCACGGCCTGCCGTCTGCCTCCTCCTGGTGCGCCGCACCATTCATGAGGCAGCGGAAGTAGCCTTGGCATCCATCACGCTTCGGATCAAATTTGAGGCTGGGACCCTTGGTCCAGAAGGGAAGCTTTGCGCTTTGAGCGGATCAAGAGATGCTGATATCGTTCCGTTCCCAGCTCGGCAAGCTTGCCTTTCAAAGTGTGTGTCCCTGGGTGCGGCTTGGCGCATGCACTTTTATATTGGGTTCAGCTGAATTACCGACTGAAATGGCTGTGAAGCGAATCGGGTTCGTCGCCGATCACTGCAACAATTGCATTACTTAGTGGGAAAACAAACACTTTCCAAGCTGTGTGACCAAATCTGCTCAAGCCAAGGCGCAGCAGTGCAGAATTCCCAGCATGTGGGTGACCTGCCCGCAAAGCTATGTCAAGCACATACCAACGTGCCCGACGTGCCAGGCTTCAGCTCAAAGCGCAAGATTCGCCCCTCAAGCGTGCGCTTCCTGCGGGTTCTTGTTCTCGCATATTTGCAAAACACCAACTCCCGACATTGCGCACCACACCAAAAAAAACCACTGTGTGCAGTGTCCATGCTTGCAGCGATGCTGGCACTTAAGCAAATATATGCAAATATAGTTTCTGTGTGGGAGTTAAAGGTCTCCGCGCGTTTAGCAAGCACGTTTGCGAAAGCCCGTGCACTCACATTCTCACCCGGTGATAGTTCCTGTGGACTCCCGAAACATTGCCAGGGCTACTATACATCGCAGGATGCGGTTGGATCCCTGCAACCTGCAACCTTTTCTAGTCAACCTGTTGGATCCCCCCGAAAAAGCGAATGATCCTGGGCTCCTAGAGCCTCCCTCCCCCGAGTTCGCCAGCGCCTGGTGCAGCAGGAACTTCACGGCCCTCTCCATGGTCTGCGAGCTGACCTCCTCCTGAAACACGAGATGCGGCACCCGAAAAGGCCACGCCGCCGCCGCCAACAACCACAACGCACCCACGGCAGCGCACGCAAACCAACGCACACGCAGGCATGCATCCACCCACCCACTCACTTATATATACATAAACACAAAGCATACACACAACACAGCACACACTCACACACACTCACACGCACACAAACATAACAAAACAAAACACAACACGACACAACACAACGCAACACAACACAACACACACACAGCATACAGAACAGAAACACAAACACAAACACAAACACACAGACACACAGACACACAAACACACAGAAACACATAGACACACACAAACGCACAGACACACAGATGCACAGACGCACACACAGACACACAGATGCACACACACACACAGACACAGATGCACACACACACACACAGACGCGCACACACACACAGATGCACAGACACGCAGACACGCAGACACACAGACACACAGACACACAGATGCACAGACACACACACACACACACACGCACACACAGATGCACAGATGCACAGATGCACAGATGCACAGATGCACAGACACACAGACACACAGACACACAGACACACAGACACACAGTCACACACATGCAAAGACACACAGATGCACCGACACACAGACACACAGATGCACAGACACACAGACGCACAGACACACAGATGCACAGACACACAGACACACAGACACACAGAGGCACAGACACACAGATGCAAAGACACACAGACGCCATACACACAGATGCACAGACCTGTAGATCAGACACACAGAAGCACGCACACACACACACACACACAGACGCCATACACACAGATGCACAGACACACAGACACACAGACACACAGAGGCGCAGACACACAGATGCACAGACACACAGACACACAGACACACAGATGCACAGACACACACACACAGACGCCACACACACACACAGATGCACAGACACACAGACACGCAGAGGCACAAATGCACAGATGCACAGACACACAGACACACAGACACACTCACACACAGATGCACAGACACACAGACACACAGATGCACACACACACACAGACACACAGAGGCACAGACACACAGATGCAAAGACACACAGACGCCATACAAACAGATGCACAGACATATAGATCAGACACACAGAAGCACGCACACAAACACAGACGCCATACACACAGATGCACAGACACACACACACACACAGACACACATAGACACACACAAACGCACAGACACACAGATGCACAGACGCACACACAGACACACAGATGCACACACACACACAGACACAAATGCACACACACACAGACGCACACACACACACACAGATGCACAGACACACAGACACACAGACACACTCACACACAGATGCACAGACACACAGACACACAGATGCACACACACACACAGACACACAGAGGCACAGACACACAGATGCAAAGACACACAGACGCCATACAAACAGATGCACAGACATATAGATCAGACACACAGAAGCACGCACACACACACAGACGCCATACACACAGATACACAGACACACACACACACACAGACACACATAGACACACACAAACGCACAGACACACAGATGCACAGACACACAGATGCACAGACGCACACACAGACACACAGATGCACACACACACAGACACAAATGCACACACACACAGACGCACACACACACACACAGATGCACAGAGGCACAGACACACAGACACACAGACACACACACACACACACACACACACACACACACACCGCAAGATAACTCTCAAGCAGAAGTGATTTTGTCCATGCCCACATGACACCTTCTTCTCCAGGCTTCTGTCTCTGGCCTCTTGCAACGGCCACCTTCCTCGGCCATCTTCCCCAGCTCAGGCTGTCAGGACTCCGACCTCCGACCTGGCCGCTACTCCAAGGTGGGCCGTGGGCTCGTGGGTGTTGCACACCTGGCCGAGGATCGATGCGTCGATCCGAGCCGGCGGCGCCGGATGCTACGGCCTCACGGCGAGCATTCCAACGACAGAATGGGATGGTCGAGGCGCTGCAGGGAACTCGGCAGGCTCTGCGCGTCCAGGGCGTACCTCCCTTCGAATGTCAAGGAGCTCAGGCTTGGAAGGCCTGGCAGTGAGCCAAGGGGTTGTTGGAACTCCAAGCCAAAGACCAGGTTCTGGAGACGTGGCAAGCTAACACCATCCAAACTCTGATTGTAGGATAGCCCGAACGTCAGGCTTTGGAGGTTTGGAAGAAATGCCCCAGCCAGGCTTTGGTTGTAGCGGTTGCCAAAGGTCAACTCTTGAAGGTTGGGAAGCGCCACGTTCCGCAGTGATTGGTCGAACATGTAGCCGAAGGTCAACGACCTCAGGGCCCTTGGCAAAGTTGCATCTTCCAGGCTCTGGTTGTACTCCCAGCCGAATTCCATGCTTTGCAGGCAGTCCGGCAAGCTGGTGTTCGCCAGGCTGTGGTTGAACATCCTGCCGAAGTTCAGGCTCTGAAGGCCGGCAGGCAGCTGCAAGGAGTCCAACTTCAGATCGAAGTCCCCGAAGCTGAGCTCCTGCAGCCGGCAGGGCAAAGTTCCAGGCGCCCACGGCAGGTTGAAGTCTCTGCCTAAGCCGAGCTTTCGGAGGCTGCTGGGCAAAGCCAGCTCGTCCAGGCTCTGGTTGAAGCTGGTGCCGAAGGTCAAGCTCTCCAGGCCGCTCGGCAGGCAGCCCAAGCTCTGGTTGAACTGGGAGTCGAAGGTCAAACTTTGGAGCTTGGGCGTGTCCAAGCCCTCTAGGCTGCTGTTAAAGCACCATCCGAAGGTCAGACTTTGGAGATTGGGCAGGGTGCCCTGCAAGCTCTTGTTGAAGCTCCAGCCAAAGGTCAAGCTTCTGAGAGTGCTCGGGAGAACCACGCCCTGCAGGCTTTGGTCGAAGGAATCTCCGAACTTCAAGCTCTGGAGCCCCGGCGGCAGGGTCACCGCTCGGAGGCTGCGGTTGAAGTCGCGGCCGAAGGTCAGGCTTTCGAGGCGCGGCAGATCCACGCCTTCGAAGCTCTGGGCGAAGTAGCCGCCGAACTCCAGGCACCGAAGGTTGCTCGGCCAGGAGCAGCCGTCGAGGCTCTGATTGAAGTGGTTGCCAAAAGTTAGCTTCTCCAGGGCGTCGGGCAGAATCACGCCCTGCATTTTGCGATTGAAGTTCGAGCCCAAAGTCAATGTTTTCAGGTTTTCGGGCAGGCTCACACCTTGCAAAGTCTGGTTGAACTCCGCATCAACGGTCAAATTCTGGAGGCTGCTGGGAAAGGTGACTCCTTGCAAGCTCTGGTTGAAGCATGCGCCAAAGGTTAGGGATTCCAGGTTGGGCCAACTCATACCGTCCAGGGGCTGGTTGAAGTCTTCCCCGAAGGTCAGCCACTGCAGGTTCGGAGGCAAGTTAAGTCCCTCCAGGCTGTGGTTGTACCCACCCAGTGAAAGACTTCGAAGACTTTGAGGCCAAGTCACCCCCTGCAGAGGATGCTCAAACCAGAAGCCCAATTCCAAGCTCTGCAAGTCCGGCGGCAGCTCGAGGCCCTGCAGGGAGCGCTTGAAGTAGTAGCCGAAAGTCAGCTCCTGGAGACTGTTCGGCAACTTCAGGCCCTCCACATTCTGGTTGAAACGCTGGCCAAAGGTCAAGAATCGAAGACGACATGGCAATGTCACGCCCTGCAAACTGTGGTTGAAAGAATGCCCAAAGCTGATGCTTTCAACTTTGTCCATGGCATTCTGGCGCTGCCTGGCTGCAAAACCTGGCTGCCTGAGGTTCTGCAGCAAAGCTTGCCAGGCATGCCCTGCTCCCGCTTTCTCCTTGACGTAGGTGATGACCGCGCCGTCCGCGATTTGCTGCTCAGCCAGGGACGCGCTGTCCGCAACCACCCTGCCTTCGCAAACCAAAATCAGCAAGCTGCCAGGCTCGTGCCCCACAGTGCCCGCGATGCTCTCTGCAACCTCGTCCCCCAGCGCGGTCTCCGCCACCGGCAGAGTCCACTCCCCGCCATGCAGGCCACGAATGCAAAGGTGCAGCATAGGTTGTATGTCAAAAGGCTCACAGGCGGCCCTTTAGCTACACGCCCACCTCGGGTCTTTCCTCTTAGCAAAGAAAGCTCATGTTCCATGCGCGGCGTGGTGTGCGAGTGTGGTCATGTTGAATCTCTTCGCTCTGACAAAGCTGGCGTAACGGCATTACAAATGTGGCCCTGTGCTAGCGGCCAGATCACCCCTTTTTCCCAGTGCTGGCTTAGGTGGCTACTCCATCTTCCATATTAATGTCTTTCTTGGTTTCCCGAGAAAAAAAAAAGAGAAAAAACTGACAAGGGTACCCTCAGCAGCACACACCGATTCTCCGGCGATCAAGACCACAGCCAAAAAAGGGGCTCCGAACCAAGAGCCCAGCCACAAAAACTCCCCTCCTCGCTCTTCACCACAGAGGCAAGGCTGAAGACCCCCACCCGCTGTGACCTGGGCTTGCGCCTGCATTTTTGGGGCTCTAGGAAAGAACATATGGCGACATATGGGGGATGAGACCAATACTCCCTTAAAGGGTTGGGCCCCCAGTTTGGGACAAGAGTAATTGTCCCATGACATATCAAATCTTTCTCGTGGTTTTCCAGGCAATGGTCATCCCATGTATTTCGGATCTTTTGATCAACCCCCATATCAGTTGAGCCTCATCATCCTTCAAACAAGTCCAGCAGATAAGCCTGCTTTTCCGCCTTGAATCACGCAACCGCCAAATTGCGCAAGCCAAGTTGGAGTTCCTTCCGTCGGGAGGGAGAGGAGAAAGACTGAACATGCACACCCAGACTGCATGGACTGCATCAGGATGTACAATCAACAAAGTACCATGCCCATAGTCTTTGCCATAGCGCTAGCCAAAAAAGCGAAGGCGAAGGATGGCAGGGGTTGACTGACTTGTAAGTCTGCAACTTTTCGTGTTTGTCTGTTTGTTTGTCTGTTTGTCTGTTTGTTTGTTTGTTTGTTTGTTTCTTTGTCTGTTTGTTAGTGTTGTGTCTCACCCTTTCCATTGGGCGACCGCGCCAGTCGCTGGCGCCGGGCACCCCTCGACCGCAACTGCTGAGTGGCGACAGCGTCAGCGCCGCCGTCAGCACGCTGTCTGAGCGAAGGCCTGCGGTGGCTCAGGTGGCTCAGGTGCCTCCAGACCGCTGGGGACGAAGGGGCACCCGTTTTCAGTGCTTAGTTTTAAACCTTCTGAAGAACAGGATTCAGGGTGTCACTGGAGGTTTGGGGTACCTCTAAGTAGGGATCCAAGCAATGATTGATTGAAATCCCCACCATCTCCCCTGCTCAGGTGTGGAAAAGATATCTCAACTGACATGGAATTTTGGAGTAGCCCCCATGTCCCAAATGCTGATGAGTGCCCCATATCCCTGCATGGCTGGCCGCGCAATACTTCCCCTTATGCAGCAAAGCCGCTTCTGAGAACCAATCTGTCTCTCCGACCAAAGCTTTAGCCCTTGGGGCTGCCCAGGCACTGAGCCCGGGCTGGAAGAAACACCGGAGATGGCGATCAAGGGCCCTTAGGATCAAAGTATCCAGTGGTGCCCCTTTGGTCGCTCAAACGACCAGCTGGTTGGGCATGGGGTTCACGATGTTGTCCTTGAAGAAGCCTAGACTTCTCTGAGTCGCTGCGTAGTTGTTCATGTACCTCCACTCCTTGGCGATGCCCGGCAGGTAGGAGCTCAGCGGGAAGTGCTCTTTCAAGGCGCGGGAATAAATGTCGCCACCCGGAAGGTTGTGACCCTCCAGCGCAATCATGGTGTTGCCCACATCTTCCAGCGTGAAGGTAGCTGGCGTCCAGTTCCGCGGCAATTTCCCCTCCAGAAAGAAGCGCCGCAGGTCGCTCTCGATCATGAACTTTGCCTTGCTGCCATCAGGGTAGGGATAGCCATAGGCCTCCCAAAGGCCCACCCAGGCAAGCCAGCCAGTCCAGTGATAGAGCGCCTTAGCATCCGAGTACTCCACGTGGGGGTGGTAGTGCTCCAAGTTGCTGCCCTTGAGCTCCAGGTTTCTGCCCAGGGACCACTCTCCCGAGAGGTCACCCTCCAGAGTCATGCGCGCCAAAAGCTGCGCGAAGGTCTCGAAGGTCATGACCCTCTCGGAGTGCAGAGATTTGTTCACCACCAGCGTGGGCTCCATCCATTCCTTGAAGCGCTTCTCCCGGGTGGGGTCCTCAGCATCATACCTGGGGTCGCGAATGGTGGTGGAGTAGCCGTGCTGCACGTGCTGAGGGTTGGCATTGCAGGGGAACTTGCTGCGCACCTGCGCGTGGCCCTGCGCGTCCACACATTTGTCCGGCACGTTCATGGTCATGATGTTCAGCCACAGGCTGGACAGGTCCTTCTCCAGCCCTAGATCATCCAAGAAGCCGCTGGGCACGAGGCCATAGTCCCAGTGGCGTTCGGTTTGGTGCATGTCCTTATTGCGGAAGCGCACAGTGCCGAAGGCAGGGAACAATGCATTGGGCACCGTGGACCCAGCAGCCATCATGGCTTCCTTCATGTGCTGAGAATCCACCCGCCCGTGCTCGTCAGGCTTCAGGAGGCCCTCCTGGTACAATCCTGGCTGTGGCTCAAAGAACCGGTACCAAAATGGAACCCTGGTAAGTGGAAACATGGACCAAAACCTGCGGTTTGCCCCTCCTGGTTAACTTTGAGCCACACCCACCTGCCAGGAACGGGCAAGGGATGCGCTTGGCGTTCTCTTCGCGCTCCTCGACAGGTACCGGGTCACCACCACCACGACCATCTGGAGCGCTGCCGGCCGCAACGGCCAACAACAAGCTGGGCAGAGCAAAAAAACGTGCCATGCCAGGCTTCAATGATTTATACGGGCTGGATCACTTGAGCCAGCCTATGGTCACCCAAACTGCGGCAGCCTAGAGTTCACAAACTCTCACTTAAGCCGCTTTAAGCACGCGTCTGCAAAGGTGTATGTCTCTCAAAGGTTACCACACTTATACAACACTGTCTGATTGGACTTAGGACTTCTTCGCCACTGATCCCCTCAACTCTAGAGGCACATCTCGCTGCCAGCTTGCCTGAAGCCAGCCACGGTAGCAAATCTTCACTCACCATCGGTCGGGGCCTGGGACCAGCGGCAACGTTAGTTTTGGTTCGATGCGAGTCGACTGGTCCTTTCAAAGCGGCTCAAGGCCACCGCATGGGTATGGGTCAAAATTAAACCACCAGGATATGGACCGCAGGATTTGCCAGGCTTCCATTTTGGGGTTACCCTATTTTGACCCACACCCACGTGCACTCAGTTTTTGCATTCCCTTGTGCTCTGATGCCTTGCACCGTGCCTGGATTTTCTCATGCTTAAGTGCTCTGCCACAAGTCTCCTTCTGCGTTCTATGCCTGGCCAGCCAAGGCCCACACGACGCTCCCTCGCCCACCGTTGGGGTCGGCGCCTGGCAAACCCAAAGCACGCTGGATCCCAGCAAAGGCTGGGGCTTCGGGATTTGAATTTGAAATCCTTGTTCAGCTGAACTGGGACTTCCCAATGTCCTGTCAGACCATAGATGCCATAGGTCTTGAGACCTAGTGTCGGTGTTTGCCGGAGGTCCTTCCTTTGAAGCAGCAAAATGACGCGAGAAAATCAGAGTACAATCCGCGCGACACATACTTGAGGCACTTGATTCCACGGTGGAAGTCAGCGTCCGAAGAATGGAGACAAGCAACCAAGCGAGAGGTTTCTGAAAGCTCCTGCTTCCTGCAAACAAGTGATGCTGGAAGTTTGGTCTGGTTCAATAACCCAACAAGCAGTCAGTCCTTAGGTGCCTTCCACCATTTTCACAGCACAACACGCTCGCCAATCCCTCCAACACGTGGCCTTCTCAGGGCGGCTGCGGATCACAGCTACCTAAGCGGGCAACATAGGTCGCTCTCTTACCAAACAGGACAATATCCTGACAAGGAGTGGCTTGCTGACCTGCTGCTAACATGCAACGACAGTCAATTCTTCCTATTCTGGCGCCTGACACGTCCTCTCCAAGCCCACATGTGCATACCTGCCTCCAGCATCTGCTCTTTCTTTCTTTTCCACTGAACTGCTGCTCTTGTCACAGTGCTCCAAACCAGCAAAAAAGCAAATACCCCTGTCAGTCTGGGAAAGGAAGTTTTTTTTCTTTCGCCAGATCGGAAGGGTGACAAGACCCGGGCTCTGAGAGGCGAGAAGAAGGCGGCGCAAGCTTCCTGCAGCTACAGATGGTACGAGGGCAAAACTCTGGGTGTCAAAACATGCTGGAAAGGGGAGGGACATGGATGTGGCGTCACACGTAAACAGGGGGCTGTTCCATGCTTCTATCATTGTATGCCTGAATAAACCATGCTTTTTGGCAGTAGGGCTGGGCGCAAGCGTGCAGAATGAAAGACTATCGGGTCTTGTGGCAGAATGGATGGCATCGCAAAAATAATAGAACCAGTGAAAAATGGCCTGGAAGGGACACCCATGTTTCCTAGCTGCTCGTGCCCTTGCCCCCCAAAAAAGAGGGTTGTCGGAAAAAACGGTTCGCTGCCCTTCGGCCTCCCTTCGGACATCTACTCTCAGCCACGCCTTCAGCGCCTGCATCACCTTGGGGGCAGGCTCCTGGCACGTGATGGCCCGGCCACAAGGCCCAAGGGCCAGCCGTCTGGCAAGTATCGGGAAAAAACACAGCCGTCATAATAAAGAAGCAAGTAAGTTCCACCCACAGGTGTCCTCTTGGAAAATAGATGGCCCTGGTAAATGGCTTGTGAAGCCATTTAAACCAGTGAGTGGAATCCATCTCTTTCAATCAAATTAACCTAAAAGGGACACTTATGGCTCCACCCCAAGATTTATCTCTGCACTGAAACTAACCTTCAATGACCCAGGTTTTTCACTATGGCTCAGTTGGCCAATTGCTACTTGCTTTCCATAACAACCTACAACCTCTGGTTGGGGAAACGGCAACTGTTAATACGGGTTTTGAGGACGTGGCTGTCTTGCTTCAAAGTGGGGAAACCTCCATGTTGTTTGTTCCTTTGAAACGCCGACAACTTCATGGTACTTGGTACCCTCAAAAGAACACACCCCACCACCATAGGTGGCCGCTTTTTAGCCAAATAGATGGCCCTGGCAAATGGGGCATAAGACCATCTCATTCCAAACCACACCTATGCACACACCAAAAAACCACGCGCGAATGGCTCGCATGGCTCGCATGGCTCGTCTCCTCCCCCAGCGCCATGAGGTGCAGCACCCGGCGCTTCTCGCTGGGCCCGATGAACTCCCGCTGCTCCTCTGCGCTCCGCTTCCACGAAACCGACGGCGCAGCCGTGGGGAGAAAAAGCGGCGCTCCATGGCGCGGGGTCCAACAAAAAAGGACGTACCAAAAAGCTTGGCTTTGTGGTAAGGAAGAGGAAAACGCACACCTCTTCCTTTTGCGGAGGAGAGAACTCCTCGCAGAGATCAAACATGGAAGTGGAGAGTAGGGGGGTTTGGGTTGCGTAACGCCCAGAAGCCTAGAAGCCTAGAAGCCTAATACTGGCATCACGCCTAGAAGCCTAGAAGCCTAGAAGCCTAATACTGGCGTCACGCCTAGAAGCCTAGAAGCCTAATACCGGCGTCACGCCTAGAAGCCGAGAAGCCTAGAAGCCTAGAAGCCCAACACTGGCGTCACGCCTAGAAGCCTAGAAGCCTAATACCGGCGTCACGCCTAGAAGCCGAGAAGCCTAGAAGCCTAGAAGCCTAATACTGGCGTCACGCCTAGAAGCCTAGAAGCCTAGAAGCCCTACAAGCCTATATGCTTTATCATTTTTGTTGCGTTTCTGCGCCTTTGCACTTTTCTGCACTTACACGCTCACGCTTTATTGCGCCTCATTACGCTTCTACGCTTCTGCGCTTAATTGCGCTTTTGCGCTTAATTGCGATTTTGCTCTTAATTGCGCTTCTGCGCTTAATTGCGCTTCTACGCTTCTGGGCTTAATTGCGCTTCTGCGCTTAATTGCGCTTCTACGCTTCTGCGCTGTATTGCGCTTTTTCCGCTTCTGAGCTTTATTGCGCTTTTGCGCTTAATTGCGCTTCTGTGCTTAATTGCGCTTCTACGCTTCTGGGCTTAATTGCGCTTTTGCGCTTCTGCGCTTAATTGCGCTTAATTGCGCTTCTACGCTCCTGCGCTGTATTGCGCTTTTGCGCTTCTGCGCTTTATTGCGATATTGCGCTTCTGCGCTTTATTGCGCTTCTACGCTTCTTCGCTTAATTGCGCTTGCACGCGCTTATTTTTGCGCTTCTACTGTTCATTTGCGCTTCTACGCTTTACATCGCTCTACTGCGCTTCTACGCTTTACTGCGCTTCTACGCCTCTACGATTAATTGCGCAATGACTATTGAGGTTGATAAATCATCATTTAGGAAAAAACACCCTCCGTGTCCGACGGTGAAACAGGAGGACAAGTATTAGGGATCAGAAACAACCAAATTAACTCAAGCGGCATGAGGCCCTGACGGGAATAGGCGCTTTATGATCAAGCAGAGGCCAGCTAAGATCTTCCGTCTCCACTGCCCATCGCTCTCGCGAGGCAACACCTACACCTGTACATCGGATCTTCGGCAAATATGAACAATAATGAAATGGATTGAGATTTGAACAAGTAAATTGATGTCTGCCATAGATCCTGATGAAAAGCAGCGCCAGTTCCAGTTGAGGGGATGAGCCCAGGGTTGTTGATCTTCTTCCCACCATGAGTCCCACGATTGGTTCCAGCCGCTCCAGTAGGCGTGGTTGCCACTGCCAGAGGTGTGGGATAGGCCTCCTTGTCACACCCACAACGCCGGGGAGAGTACCTGAATGTGCTCTCACTCTCGACGAAAATTAGTGGTCGAGGTTGCCATATAATGCCACAAACTGCTTGGTCTGCAAAAATCGTCCGCCGTGGCAGACACACATATCGTCGGGGTTGATCTCCTCGACTTCCTCCTGCGGTGGCACCAGCGCTAGCCGTGCTGCGTACCTTGGAACAGCACGGCACCTTTAATCATCTCCTTAGGCGCGCTCAAAGCTCAGGGTGACACAGCGGGCCGCTTTGCGGATAAACTCAAGCGCAGAAGGCGTCAGGTCTCCCCGCGGAGCGCTGTAGGCAGAAAATGGGTCGGTGATGAGGTGCTCGTAAAGCTTTTGCAACCCTGCCCCACAAGACCAAGCTTTCATAATGCCCAAGCCTCCTTGGCCGCTCCTAAGAGTCCATGTGCTGCGTCAATATCTGGGTTTCGATTTGCTCCATGATTCAGGGAACGGCCATCTCTTCAACACGTGCCACTTTCTTGATGTCCGGCATTTCTCCTGCAGAACGTCGCGTTGAAGCAATGAGTTGAAGCGGGCACATTTATCGGGGAGTGCGAGGACACGTCGCGCGGCCATGCCTACCTAACGGTAGTGCCTGGGTCAGGCTTGAACGCAAGGCCGGGGGGGCCAGGGCTGACCGCCCTATCAACGTCGCGGTTGATGTCAATAAGGCCCCGGAGACGGGGAGGCCCTTGTCACTTAAGCTTGGATTTCAAGCAAGGTCATCATTTACGCGGCCCTAAATTCATATGGTCCAACCGCACGCACGTGAGCCTTCGTCGCAACAAGATCAGGCAGCAAGGACGGCAAGGACCTCGCGCCTGTGCTCTTCTCGTTCATGGCGACGACTGATCGCGATTGAGTGGGCAGTACAAGTCTTGGGGCGCGGGATTTGCAGCGACACGATGCGTCCGTTCCTGATCAGAAAGCCAACGAAGTGCACCGGTTTGGTTGATGAGAACCTTTCCAAGGATGAGCAGATCGAGCTGCGCTTCGAAACCGCCCGCTACGCTCTCTACTGGAATTGGGCCCGAGTGGTCCATCAGCAGCCCGGGGAGACCCGTGGTCGAAGTGGTCTTTGGCAGCATCTCAAATAAGAAGAAAGCAACAAATTGGAGGTACGCCGAAGTCATTCACGCGCCCGAGTCGGAGTGCTACGTCAAAGAAACCTTGCATCGTGCGCGTGCGGTATGCAATTTTGGGCATCGCGCTTTCGGCGAGCGTCCGTGAAGTTCTGACAGAACCAGGCCGGGCGCCATTCTTCGCATGGTCACGGGTATCGCGGGTATATTTGCGGGTGATGCGCGTGGTTGAATCCCACCGCTTCTGTCCAGTCATTGTGACCAGCGATGGAGCGGATGCGCAAGGGCATGATCTTGGATTGTTCCATTGAACACCTCGATATACACCTCGATACGCTTCGATGCTCTGGCCGCTTGCAGCATGAACAAATTGAGCGCAGTGTCAATCATATCTGCGCTGGATCCACTTTGTGACAGCCTCAAGGTCCAGGGAAAGGTCATGCAAATTGATCTCGGGAATCGACCGCGTGGAGCGCTCGGCAGCATGACCGCGGACCAAGTGCGCCAGCTTCTTGCTCAACGGGAACACTGATACCCGAGCATCTGACTCACTCAAACACCGTCCTGCCTTTGAACTTGCGGAGACGGCTTCGTTTCTGGAGTTCACTACCCTTCTCGGCACAAATCTCGAATATTTTGCAAACGTAACTTTTGACGACTTGCAACCATTCACGCACAGTCAGTGTTGTAGTCCCACGCGCCCTTGCTTTCAAAAACTGCCATTCAAGATCGAAGCATAGAAGCCGCCAAAGTCTACGTCGCTGAGAGGCCCACAAGCCTAGAAGCCTAAAGCCGAGTCACGCCTGGAAGCCTAGAAGCTCTGCTGCGCTTCTGCGCTTTGCTGCGCTTCTACGCTTCAGTGTGCATTCACGCTTCTGCGCTTTCTTGCGCTTTTACGCTTCTGCGCTTAAATGCGCTTCCACGCTTCTGCGCTTAATTGCGCTTTTGCGCTTCTGCGCTTCATTGCGCTTCTACGCTTCTGCGCTTAATTGCGCTTCTACGCATAATTGCGCTTTTGCGCTTCTGCGCTTAATTGCGCTTCTACGCTTCTGCGCTTAATTGCGCTTCTGCGCTTCTGCGCTTAATTTCGCTTTTGCGCTTAATTGCGCTTCTACGCTTCTGCGCTTAATTGCGCTTAATTGCGCTTCTACGCTTCTGCGCGTTGTTGCGCTTCTACGCTTTTTTGCGTTGCGCGCTTCTGCACTTTAGCTCGCTTCATTGTTTCTGCGCTTTGCTCCGCTTGTTCTGTGCTGCGCTTCTGTGCTTTGCTGCGCCTCGCTCCCCGTCGGCGCTTCTGCGCTTCTCGGCTTCTGCGATTTATTGCGCTTCTGCGCTTCTCGGCTTCTGCGGTTTATTGCGCTTCTGCGCTTCTGCGCTTCTCGGCTTCTGCGGTTTACTGCGCTTCTGCGCTTCGCGGCTTCTGCGGTCTATTGCGCTTCTGCGCTTCTCGGCTTCTGCGGTTTATTGCGCTTCTGCGCTTCTGCGCTTCTCGGCTTCTGCGGTTTATTGCGCTTCTGCGCTTCGCGGCTTCGCCGCTTGACACACCCGGGCTGCAACCCAAATCCCCTTGCAATGTGGAAGTGATATCATTGGAAAAGAGACCCCCCCCCCGGTTTTGCACAAAGGAAAATCTGGGAGGATGGAACTGGATGGAAAAGGATGGACATGGATGAAGGGAACTGCATTGGCGCCCAGCGGTTTTGGCGACCGACCGACCGGCCTCCCATGCGCTTCGAAACGCCTCGAAGTTCTGCCCAAGCTCCTGAGGCCGAAGTCAGGGCTATGTGACTTACTCCTACGACCAAATCCGCCTGCACAGTTGTGCATGTATATATGTATACATACATATTGTGCAGGTAGATATATAAACATAGATGTATACATATATATATATCATACGCATAACTTGTCTGTGTAGATATCTCGATATCGTTTTGCGTGAGTGGATGAAATCTCAAAGCCGGGGAACCCCAAACAGGCTGATGTTCCCCTTCCAATTTACGCCAACAAAGGGCTGCCCGCAAGACACCCTGGACGCCCCCAGGTCGCATCGGGCCCCCGGCGCGATTCTTGCCCAGCCAGTCGTGAAGCCGGGGCTCCGCCACCGGCTCGAACCAGGCCTCTGTGAAGTGGGAACGTGGAATGGGCAATCTTCCAGGTGCCGGTACCTCATTACTGTCAAAGCCTTTCTGATCATGAAACGTTCCGACTGCAACGTACGCATAAGAATTGCGCGGCAACGGTTGTCCAGCGCGCCACCATGTTTGTTTGTATTGCTGCGACTTGTGCGACAAAAGGATAGGACTACATACGTCTAAGAGGTGAATCATTCGAGTCACACAACTGTCTCTGGTGGTGTCGGCCAATCCTGTTGGATACTCTAGGACAGTCATTACATTGAAGAGGGCCAATACATGCTGCCTCATGGTTGCAATCATCGCATGATGTGCGCGAAAGGGTGCTCGCGCATATCGGCTATCGGAGCATGCACTTGCCCCGCACAAAGTCACTGAAAGACGCATTCAAAAGCAACAAAAGGCATCCGAGCCTCTGCAAACCGCAGCACACGCTGCATAAGGAAGGGGGCCCTGGCCGGTCAGGGATGCGCCTGGAAATACTTGGAACGCAGGACCCCAACACAAATGTTAAACTCGGGTGGTGCAACATCATTGCCTGTCCAAAACTTCCGCCAGCGTGATAGACTATCCACAGATATTTCGGATTTCTCGCTCTTCGAAGGATCGCACTTTGGTCAATAGAAGCATTTAGAAACAGCACCAAAACATGGCCCCTTGAAGTGTCCCTTGGTTTTCTCTGGATTTAGATAGATCAAACAAGCCACGAGCGAACGAGCTTGCGAGCGAGCATTCACGACTGCCGGCACAACACACCGTGAACCGGAAAAACAAGTGAAAAAAAAGTGGAAAGACGCAAAAAAGACCATCATAGACAATCCATGTTCGCATTTCTCCAACTCGACCAGGCCGTGACCAAATTCGGCCACCCCCCAGCCCCAGCCAGGCGCACCCGCTGGCGCCCCCCATGGCGGAGCGCCGGTGCTCTGCACTGGGCACCTGAAAGCCTGGGCCTCGGTGACACAGCGATCGCTGCGAAATCGATGCAGGGAATGAGCTCCTCATAAACCATCCCTTGCTGGTGGTCCTTTAGGTGCCAACTCATTGCGTGTGCTCGGACTTGCTGGTGGGGTCCTTTATTCGGGAATCCCAAAACGGTTCATTCCATTTAGCCATCGCACCAAGATGAAACACGCGTCTTGGCCATGGCCCGTCTGTGCCGATGGGCATCCCTACTTTGTCATTGTCACTGGGGCTTTTTGTTTGGTAGCGCAAGTGAGCCTAAAACCACGTTTCCTACATGTGCTCCTCGCTTGAACAGGGCTTCTCAAAACTTGCTCTGAGGCATCCTCTGAGGCATAAGTGCGTCGAAAAGATCTCAGGTTCCAACAAGTGAGTGACATCTTGATTGACTCCACCAGCGGCAGGTTGTCTCCCCCAATGGCTTTTTTTGGGGTCGCGGCGGCAAGGATCCAGCGTCTGCAGAGCAGCGCATCCCAAAGGCTGTGGCTGTGGAGCCACCACCCTCCTGCGCGTGGTAAAGCCAAGCTCGGCAGATCAAAGACCCACTGCAAAGCAGCAGGAATCCAAAGGAGACTGTCAGGGGTTGAAAATTCAAGGCGGGACACCTGCTGTTCACACTGTCGTGTGGGTTCCTCGCTGCTACCTGAACTAGGGCATCAAATTGAAGGCCTAACGTCCGTAGGGCAGGATGCCAAAGGTGCCATCAGCTCTTACAACAACAATGCCGCCAGCTGGAAACGCACTAACCAATGAAACGGCCAGCGCAGGCTTGAAGCGTGAATCGAGTGCCTAACCGTCTTCCACAGTACAAGTACATGTTCACCTGACATTTGGGTTGATTATTTGAGAAGCAAATTCTGCCTGGACAAAATAGCGAAAGCTCGTTCCTATCCGCACGTCTTGCAAGAAGGACTAATCTTTCGCCTGCTGCAAAAGTGGCCAAAGCTGAACAATCGTTCTCATGACCGGCTCCTCACTTGTATCGGCTTCGTGAAACCTCAGCATCACAAGCAGCTTCTGTGAAAACAAAATATATACGTCCATCGCTTGGCATCGTTGCAAATGCCCTATGCTCCAAGTTGGAAACCCTGAGTCAAGGATTCAAAGCCATAGCAAGGTGCGAGAGACGCAAGGTGTCCCCAATCACTATGCAATGACTCCAGTGGCTCCGAGTCTATGCAAAGCGAGCCACGAGCAACCCGGTGTGCGAACAGGGCGCTAAGATGGCGGGGCGTCCGCGGCTTCAGCGGCTTCAGCGGCTTCTTGGATGCCTGGCACGGAAGTCGGCTCAACTCCTTGCCCACCGCACATGTTAGACATGCAGCCGTTGGGGATGCGTTTATATATGTATATATATGTATATATATATATGTATGTATATGGTACCTACACAGAGAGAGAGAGAGAGGGAGAGAGAGAGAGAGAGAGAGACAGCGAGAGACGTTATTATTCTTGGTGGTTGGGAGAATCTGTGAAAGGGTTCTTGGCCCCCTCCTGGGGCTGGATTCCACCCTGCAGTGTCGACACCGGCATCACCGTGGGAAAAAAACCGTTCTCCGTTGGCAAAAAGACAAAAAGAGTGCCGCTCTGTAAGCCTTTTGTGGTCGACACCAGCATCTAAATGTCACGACAAAACCTGTGTAACAAAATTGGCTAGTATTCTGGCACCATGGGAGGGGGTTGACGTTGGAAGGTGGAGCAACCTGGACCCAGAAAGTGGGTTTGTTGTCTATAATAACTGATTGAGGCTTTTGAGGAATCGAAGCCAGCTCGAGAAGATTGAGTGATGTCTAGCGCCAAGGAGGGAGGCGGCAAGCTGACTGACTGGCTCACTGACTGACTCACTGACTCACTGACTCACTGACTCACTCACTCACTGACTCACTCACTCACTGACTGACTGGCTGACAGACTGACTAACTGACTAACTGACTGACGGACTGACTGACTGATTCACTGAAGGAAGGAAGGAAGGAAGGAAGGAAGCAAGAAAGCAAGGAAGGCAGGCAGGAAGGAAGGAAGGAAGGAAGGAAGGCATGAATGCAACAATGCAATGATGCAACGATGCAATAATGCATAAATGCATGAAGGATAGATGCATGAACGAACAACCGAACCAACGAACGAACAAATGAACGAACAATTGCATTACCAAATTAGTCAATGAGCCAAGTAAATACATGAGTAAACCTGCATAGATGAATGAATAACTAAACGAATGAATACATAAAGGAAAGCACTGAATAAGAAAACAGATAAATGAATAAATAAGTAAATAAATAAACAAATAAATAAATGAGTAATTAAAATAATACAAAATGAATGAATAAAGCACTGAAAACACTAAAAACACTTAGAACTATATACATCAATAAATAAAACAATAAATAAATAAATAAAACAATAAATCAATAAATAAATAAAACAATAAATAAATAAATAAATAAATAAATAAATAAATAAAACAATAAATAAATAAATAAATAAATAAAACAATAAATAAATAAATAAATAAATATAACAAAATAAAATAAATAATAAATAAATAAAACAATAAATAAATAAGTAAACCAATAAAAAACATAAATAAATAATAAATAAATAATTAAAACAATAAATAAATAAATAAATAAATAAATAAATAAATAAAACAATAAATAAATTTTAAAAAAAAAGAAATAAACAAATAAATAAATAAAGAAATAAATAAAGAAATAAATATATGAATAAAATATATGAATAAATATATGAATAACAAATAAAGAAGTAAATAGATAAATCAACAAACAAACAAACAAACAAGTAAATAAATAATAAATAAATAAACAAATAAATTATTTAAAAAAGATACCAATAAAAAAAAAAGTAAATAACATAAGCACATAAATTAATACAAATGAACACAAATGATTACATAAATAATTGTTATCTCATTTTATCTTTAAAAGAACAAACCATGTGTGTGTGCATAATGTGTGCAATTGAAAGGGCAACTGGTGGCCGTTCAACTCCAGAAGTGGGAAACATGGATCTTGTGACATCCATATCCTACAACAGACTTCAACAAGGGAATCCCCTACCAAAAAGAAGCAGCCGAACCAAAGAAAGGCTGGTTGGTTTGCTGACTGAACGAGAGGACGGCTCTTCGGTTCTGGGCTTCCCTGCCACGAAAGCCCTTCTGCAGCTGGTGGACCTGGGGTGGACATACTGTGGATGGACGGAATCCATTTCGCACCACCCAAGAAAACCCTGGAATGTTGATTCCCCTGTACATCCCAACAAACAATGGTGTCTCATGCTTGCTTAGGCGGTGCAGGATTTCGTCCATCCACAGTAGTGACGATATCTGGGCGGGTTGATTCTTTCCAATTTCAAACCCAGGGCTAACCATGTGCACATGGGCTTTGAGCGGGAATGGAGCCTTTGGTGGATACAGAAAAATTACAGGGGGATGCTTGCACCTACTGATCTTTTTTGAGGCAGCTCCAACCTGTTGCAAATCACAGCGATCTGCTACAGCTTCTTGCATCAACGTGAATCCGAGCACAGCGCTCAGTTTTGCCTTCAAACAAGGAGCAACACGTGCAGTTGCCAAGTCAATCATGCAATAAAGTTCATGTATGGCTGGGAGGATGCAGGTTGCTTCTGGTGACATATGGCATGGTGCCAAGGCCATAGTTCCAGGGATGGTCTCTTTTGCTTTGGCTGATACTGGGCGGCATTCAAGCAAACCTGCACGCATTATGCACTTGGCAACAACGATCAACAGCAGCAGCTACTCATGTTCGCCGTAGTGGGGAAAGCTATTCTTCGACTACCCTCCCCAGTTTTCGTCCACTGCCAATCCTCAGCATAGAATGCCAACAACAATCCAATAAAAGTTGGTCGCATTTGAGACGATCTCAGACATTGTCACCTCTCAAGATACTGAGTATCGCATTTTGGAGCCCTCAAAAAACAACTGCATCGTGCCTTCGAACAAGCAGAACCTCGTTCCACTCCAGAAACCCAGGTGCAACGTTTGAACATCTATCTACGGAAGGAGTCTTCTGTCTCGATCCCCATGCCTGGCGCTGGTCGGCTCTGCGACATCAAGTGCCCAGCCTCAGTTCACTGGGAATAACCCGCAATCTCTTCCGTATCCACAAGATCTCATTGGATCCTTCGGACTTGCAAATGAACTGTGACTTGGCAGTGGGTCAAAATAGGCGCCCAAGATGGAACCCTGGCAAGTGGAAACATGGACTGAAACCTTCGGTCCCCTGGTGGTTTAATTTTGACCCGTACCCAGATGGGAAGCGCTTCCGTAAGGCGGCGACGCGGCAGCGGCGGGGTGGAGGGCGGGGAGTACTCCGGCGGCCCCATCTTAGGGCCCTCCGGCTGGACATTATCGCAACTGAGCCCAGCGGAGGTCGGCACAGGTCAATGGACACCCGAGCCATCTGTCCCCATGCACAAACAATTGAACCTGTTGCCAAGAAAGGGAAGCAGCACATGATCGACTTCTTGAACTGCACGCGGATTTGTCCACATGGTCAAGACTTCCATGAGAAAAGGACATGAAAATCACCTCCTACAAGTCGCTTCAAAGAAGCCTTGAGCAGCTGGTCCTACCTAGCTCCTCATCATCCGCAACTGCCATGCTCAGTTGGTTTCATTGATGCGCGTTCGATCACAACTCAAGCCGCAGGCGCACCCGCTGGAGGGTGGAGTGGAGCCAGTCCCCGCCGCGGCATTGTGCGCCCACACCTTCCGGAGCGCTTGGAACCAGCCTCGACAATCACCAGGGAGCTAACTGATGTAATCAGTTGCCCAAAGGACCCAGAAATACAAGGGTAACCTTTTGGCACCTCTTCTAAAAAAATGGCCAACATTGGAAAACCAAAAGGTCAAAAGAAGCAAGTGAGTGCAAGGCTGGGCATGCACCTTGAGAGAAGAGCTGCAACGTGGCTCAATGCAATGCAATAACTCTCTTTTTGCAGTTGCCGCATCTTCTGCGCGCAAATTTGGGCGCTGAAATGACTTTCCTCCAATGAACTTGGATCCACTTGTGAAGATAAACCTGCATGCTGCTGAAAATAAGGGTAAAACCGCGGAAAACGCCAAACAAAAACCTGCTGCATGGTGCTGAAATAGAGCAAAACCGCAGAAAAAATTGCCTGGAGCCGCTGCCAAAGCCAGAGAGAGAGAGAACCCCATCTCAGTTGTTCAGTGACCCTGGAAAGAAAAGGGAACCCTTTTTGGGAAGACCATTGTTGGTGGGGCAGCCACCAAAAAAAAGGGGAAAAAAGGGTGCCACTGAACAACTGAGCCATAAAATCTAACATGGCTCCCTCAGGAGCGGCTGGAGTCTCGCCGCCGCCGCCGCCGGCTGCGGCTGCGGCTGCGCCTGAGTCCCGACGGATGGAAGGGCCGGCAAAACATATGGCTGTGGGTCAAAAATCGGTAAATGGAAAAGTAGACTAAAACCTGCTTTTTTATGGTGATTTACTTCTGACCCAAACCCATAATGGGCGTCTTGGAATTTGGTGCCTCTCAGGGTCCCAAATTTCAGGAACTCATGATTTTGACCCCGAATGGGTGTCAGATTCGTGAAGCTTCACCTTGGCTCCCCCCACTTCATGTGGCTTCACCCTGCCTGCGGCGCTTCTCTTGCGTCGAGCTCCGCCGCTCCCGGGTGGGGCTCTGGATGGCAACGCCTCACGCATCAGTGCTCCCCCAACAGCCAGGACCAGGGATCCTGGAAGCGATCCTGGCTTGAAACTGGTTAATGAGTGGAGTAACGCTTCTACAAAGCTTCGTTCAAGTGGCGATAGCTGGCCCTGGCGGCCTGCATATCCTGCGGCTGCAGGACATTGCCACGCGTCAGTGGCGTCATGTGCTTGTTGCAAAAGCAATCAAGTATGCACAAAGATGACCTCCCTCAGAATCAATCCAAAGCTCAACACCCAGCCCAGGTAATCATTACCGGGACGAACTGGGCATCTGCCAACGTTCTTGCCCGCAATCACGCCTGCGAATGCCAACAGGGGCTCCATCTTGCCACGACCCCCTCACAGTTTCGGAACCAAAGGAGACTCTGCGAGGAGTCCTCACGCTCGAACTTGGTGGAGGTGAGAACTTGCGACTCTCTCTGCGCTGGCCTGCGCCGAGCACTGCGCCGAGCACTGCGCCAAACGCTAAGTTGTCAAGGGCAGGGCGGACTTTCCAAGTGAAAACTGGCGAACCCAACAGCGAAGGCCAAGCTGCATCATACAAAGCTCCTTGACTTGAGGACAACTTCTGCAGTGATTGCATTGTGGCCATGAGCGCAAACGAACTTGGGCTTCTTGTATTGCGGGTGTTGTGCGCATTCCGTGAATTGATTGGCATTGAAACTGAAGTTTGGCCGCAACTCATATAGACACCGAGGCTGTTGCGCCTAGTTGTCAGTTCTCTCAAGGTCACAAACTGCCAGCAAAACCATTGACATGCACCACCTTCTGCACACCTTGCAAATGCAGCCTTGTCGTAGGCTTCGGTCCAGCCCAGCTGACAGTGATTGTCTGCCCCTGCGGCCAGACTCACGGCACGGACGGGGGGGCCAACATGTCAAATCATAGGTCTGAGGGCGTCAAGGTTCAAACAAGACTTTGGTTGTCGGTTTGCATTCTGAAGCGTTGAACTCCCACTTCATGAATGCCTGGACCGTGACCAGCTTGTGGCTTTGCAACCGGACACTCGCCAATGCTACTGGTTCTCTTGCAATCCTTCCTTTGCAGCGATCCGGGCCTCAATGGACTTGCCGTCCATGGACGACAGCGCATCCATAGCATCTGCCTCCAAGTTGTTCCTCCCTGTTCAGTTAGTCAATTTTGGGTTGTGCCTCAGTTTTGGACAAGCTCACATGCGCCATGGGTGCACGAGCCGTGCATAACGGCACAGGTGGCCTGCATCACTCTTTCGCTTCCCAGCTTTTGCCACTTCACAACGAGAAAAAGTACGAATATCCACCCAACAGTAGTCATAGCCATGCAAGTTTCAAACAGGGCAACAAGAAGCAACATACTATGTCAGGCGTACGCGCAAATATAATACATATATTACATATATGGGTGAACACATTGCATATAAACCTTATGGCTCATGTCCGGGGACCAGACTCTGCGACGCACATGTTTCAAATATGAGCGTGAATGTATGTCTATATATATATACATATCATCTACACGTGCATTGTGATCTTTTGCCTCTCCCACTGCCAGGTGAATGCTTTGCATGCTTTGCCTTCTCCGCAAAGGCGAGGAAGGCCAAATTGGGCTTGGGGGTCTCGATCCTGAAGCTCGGGCAAAGGAAAACGGGTGAACCGTACCTCAAGCGGCTGGGGCTGCAACCTGTCATGCTTCAGATCGTTTTTTTCTGGCTGAAACGAAGCATCTTATTTTGTAAGGTTCCTGGCTTCTCCCTGCTCATGCGATCGCCAAGGAGCTGATAAATGTGACCGAAGTCGCCAAAGGCTTTCTGCAGATCTGCGGAAGCTCGAGCTGCTGACTTCCCATAAATGAGTGTTTTCCATGTGGAAAAGACCCTTTCACACCGACCAAAAGAAGGCTTCCCAACAAATCCTTGTCTTGCTCCCTTGTTCAAAGGGTTGGGTTGAAAGCCCACATGCCACAGCCGACTTTTCCAACAAGCAGCAGCTGCTCTCCGCGTCAGGTAGGTCTCTCCCTGTCTCCTCTGGCTTTCCACGCCTCTTTTGGTCAGACCTTTGCCATGGCTGGCAGAGATACAGATTCGGTGGCCCTCGGAGTAGAGGAAGCTGCCAGCACCCCTGTATTCCGGCCTCATGCAGGCATGTAGCTCTTGGATTCCACCCGGCTCAAAACCTTTAAGTAGCTAAGTAAGTGGACATTTTCCCACCCCACAAGTATCATTTATTGGCGTTGCCAACATGATGGACCCTTGTTGATTTGCGAGACAACCGGCTCGCAGTGACCTTCTCGATTTGCCAGCTGGGTCCGAGACATGTCGGCCGCAGCGCCGGCTCGGGTTCTTTAAAGGTGCTGTTGGCTGTGATAGTTTGGATACCGGCTCCTCTCAGTCAGTCTGTTCGCAAATTGCCAGCTGAGGTAAGTCTGCCAGAACACGAAAAAACATGTGGAACTCTGAAATCTCATGTCTGTGCTACATCTTAGGCCTAAGCCTTGTGCCGCAAAGCTCACGCGCGGAAAGGTGGCTTCGAACGGGTGCTGCGTAAGTGAAAGTCAGCACACCTGGTTTCTTCACTTGCCCCACCTCCCATATCCTTGTGCGTCACAAGCTACTCCCTGTCACTTGAAAATCCAGGATAGCAGCCGGGGCCCGACGTGGCACCGGAGGTAGAGTGTGTCGTTTGGAAAAATCATTGACCGGGCCCAACATGGATCTGCTAAGTTCAATGCAGCACAAGCTAAAAAACAGTGGGCAGCTGTGCCTTCTCTCCTCCGATCTCCGGGCCAAACCACCAGCCACTCTGATCCGGACCTCATCTGCAGTGGATTTGCACTCTGCAACTCATAGTGTCTTTGTTCTACACCCTATCCAACGTGGAGAACGGCCAACAGCTGTACTGTTGCAGGTACGTCGGTTTCCCTTTCAGAGACCCTTGCGCGACTTGGTTAAACAACATCTGGCTCCGAGCCACGAAACAAGCGGCCGATGTTGAACAAAGCGCTGGGAGCGTTCAAGGGTGCTTGCGCCTTGGTTGGAAGCTACACCTCTGATGCCCCAGGCAATTCCCAGGTTTGCCTCCGAAACAATTCGCGCCGGAAAAACGCGTGCATCAGAGCGCCAGGCCACTCCGGGTGTCCCAGTAGTAGATGAGGACCTCTGGCATCGTCCCAAAGGATCGCTTCTCTTTCATGGAAAACGGTAGAAGCGCGTGGCCAAAGTATCGACCCGCTCATTCATATCCCACTTGAATGAATGCTGAGCCTTGCATGGACAGGATGCCTGGAGTGCAAAAGAAATTAAACGGTAGAAGCTACCTCTCTGTCCGACCAACGTGCCACACAAACAAACACACCTGCACTACAGAACAAATGTCCATCGGTCAAATGGACTGCGGACCAAGATTGCTCTTTCCTTCCACACAGACAGGAACGTGAGGAAATCGGAGCCCAAACCACAAGAACATTGCACGTTCATCTTGTCTCTTCCGACGGGTACAAGGGGCTCATCAGGCTACTCGTCCACGATAGACGATTTGCAAATCAAAGCCAAAAGAAGCTTCTCCCAAGGGCGCTCTTTCTCCACACTCATCGATCTGCTGCTTTTCGAGCGATTGGAAGGATTAAGTTCAACCCCCCCCCCCCCCCCGGGTGCGATTGATGCACGAACTAACAGCACTGCACCTCCCCGCAGCCTCTTGCAAGAAGAGGGCCAGGAAGAGAGAGAGAGAGAGAGAGAGAGAGACAGAGAGACAGAGACATAGACAGAGACAGAGACACAGACAGACACCGACAGAAACAGACAGAGACAAACAAAGAAGGGACAAACAGAAAAGAGACAGACACGCAGACAAAGAGGACAAAGCAACAATATGAATCAACAGCGTAACTTTCAATAAGAAAGCTGGCCAGTTCGATGCCAACCGCAAATGCATGCAGCACACTGGCCTCCGAGGATGTCTGACTCCCATCTGCTCTCCTGCAAATACATTTGCAGGTCAATGCTTCTAACAAGACTCGCTCGGAAGAGCATGACGGAAGCATCCAGCAGCAACTGAAAACGTACGGATGACTACAAATACCTCCAAATGCTTCTTTGATATCTATGCGCAGCATGTCAAACTCAAGTCCCAAAGGGTAGGTCATTCACCCATTCCTGCGCTCACCAATGATCCCAAGCGTCCGCCGCATTTTTTTGGATTTCAGCTGCTCTTGGCGGGAAGTGCTCGCACCCACACCGTGTCATGGGAAGTGCTCGCACCCACAGCGCGTCACGTGCACCCTTACATAGGAAGTGTGCAAGCTCCGTGTTGTTTTTTCCCCCGCACGCACGGGACTCAAGATCCAGGCCTTTCAGGCCATTTGAATGCCCCGATGGCCCGATCGCCGGATCGGCGCCTGTAGACCGGCTTCCCGTGGTTCGAGGAATGTGGCTGGTACTCGCCGCAAATGATGCCTCTCACCTCGCGGTCTTCGGGCCCGAAAACCTCTTTGGGGATCTTGTTTGCTGGGCACGTCAAAAGGAATGGGACCACTGGTACTGTTTCAAAGGAAAGCAACGCAACTACTAACGCTGCCGTCTAGAAGACATCCAACTCACTCTGACAGACAGCAAAACGCTCGAATTCTATCCACAGCTTTTGCTCGAAGTCGGTGTCAAAGTTCTCCGAAAGTTGCAGGTCCATGCTCATGAAAGGAGGAAAGCCCCAATAGCAACCAGCCCTTGGCAGTCTTAGGCCTTGCATACTCGTTGAGGCTTAAAACCCCCACAAGCCAATCCCAACGTGTTCAAAGCACTGAGCCCAAGGACCCACCGGACGGTTCTTGCACCCGGGGCGCCCTGCCGCAGATTGAGTGCAGCCCGAGACTCTGAGGCGCCGTGCCGACCTGAAAGGCGCGGGATGGTCCAATGGCTTCCTTTGAGCCTTCATGGTCTCATTGGTTTCGTAGCCCTTCATGCTCCTATGGCCTAAGTACCAATAGGCCGAATCCATCCATAAATGCTGAACAAACGTGCCACGGTCGGAAGTTGCTGGCAGATCAGGGTTGGGAGGCGCATCACAGTCTCAACAAAGCCCGTTGGAGTCAGCATTGCACCCATGCCCCAAGTCAAAACCACCGGCTATGGGGCCGCAGGTTGTCTCAGTTTCGTTTCCGCACCCAAGTCTGGGTGGTTACAGAAGTGCGCACCCCTGATTTCCACAAACAAAACAACTGCCACAACGCACAGAGCGCCGCTCTGCTTATGCGGACCTCCTGTGAAGATACTGCTTGCCTTACACCCCTGCAGCTGAGCAGCGCCGGCGCCGGCGCCGGCTCCTTGGCCTGTCAAATTGTGCGGATACCGCGATGGACAGGGGAAAATCAGTGTCCTCAACATGTTCCTCCCAAATTGGCCGCAGACTACTGACTACTATGCCGAAGTTCTGTACTTCTACGCGGCGAAACGGTTTCGAAACTGAGGTCCAGAGAGGCTGTGGGTCTTCCCGAGCACCTGCTTTGAACTCTGACGCTGTCGGCTACCCGATCTTCTCCAAGCGCTTCACGAAGGCAGAACTTGCACTAGAGCCAGGTGCCCCCCCGGCCTCATTGGTCTCTGACTCCGACTCCGAAGAGCTGCTCTTGGAGCCTGAAACGACTGGTGGCTGGTGCGCATTGAAGCCGATTGAAGTGAAAGCCTCTTGTTGGGTGCAACAAATGCGTTGGGTGCAAGAGTAGCATCGGCATCTCCCTTCAGCCCCCCCACCCCCGCGCCTTGGTCATGCTGCTCGCCCTGGGCAGCCCAGTTTCGACGACTGCTGTTGGACGTTTTGAGGCGGTCGCAAATCCAAACCGAATCTTGATGCCTCCAGAAAATCCATGACTTGGCAACGGCCAGGAGTTTGGCATCCAAGATAAAGTGCGTTCCTGTTATGCAAACTCTTAGAAGCTGGTCTAGTTTGGCAGGCCGCTGAGTCAGCCACTGAAAACTTGCGGCACGCCCAAGGCAATGGCTTTCCTGTGGGACCGCCTTCTACCAAGCACTCAGCTCCCTGATGTTTCCGCAAAGCACTGTGCGACTTGTCTTTGTGCTTCTCACCGCCTACAACCACGGTTGAAAACGAAAACATGCCCCAACGCGCC